TCTTCACGTTGTCACGCTTTATTATATATATTATATATATAAAAATTCACATTGATTCTGGAATTAACAGATTTGTTTTTAATACTAAAATGACCCCAACGCCTCCGCACTGGTGTTACTAAACTCAGAGAGGGAGAGAGAGAGAGAAAGAGAGACGGAGAGAGAGAAAAAGAGAAAAATCACCCTCTCTCTCGCCCCAGCCCACATCACCCACATTATACAGTTTTTAAAATAATAATATTCCTTGCGTTTGATACAGCGCCTTATCACGTCGTCGAGGTGTCTGAAAGCGCTTCACAGAATATAAAGTGAATTGACTGTATATTTTGCGGGCCAAATGCAGCAACCAATTGCACACTGCTTCATAATAATAATAATAATCCCTGCGTTTGATATAGCGCTTTTCACGTCTTCTCGACGTCTCAAAGCGCTTCACAGAATCTGCTGTAAAGTGAATTGACCGTATATTTGTGGGCGAACGCGGCAGCCAATTGCGCACAGCAGCGTCCCCGCAAACAGCCGTGGATTGAAAATGACCAATTTATTATCGTTTTGTTTTGGAGGGATTATTATTAGGCTCTGTGTGGAGTAAGGAAACTTGCCCTGGATTAAATGACCCAATTATTATTTACCCAAGGTTTTACCCTGCCCGGGAATCAAACCCGGGTCCTCTCTTTTGTGAGACGAGGGCTGTAACTACTGAGCTACAGAATTCCACCTCTTATCAAACTCCCCCCTCCAGAAGAAACAAATTCAGTCAAAATCTTAAGGCTGTAGTCTTAAAAATGTGTCTGAAGTTACATCATCATCGGACATGAAGGGCGTTATGCTAAACGTAAATTACTACTGATAATAATCCTTGCATTTGATATGGCGCCTTATCACGTCGTTGAAACGCCTCAAAGCGCTTCACGGAAGTGGATTGACTTGTATATTTTGTGGGCGAAACGTGGCACAAAATACGTTTAATTATTATAATATTTCTGAATGAATCGGGTTTGGAGTAAAATATTCATGCCACAAAATATTAATGCAGAACTGTTCAAAAAGTGGGTATTAATTTACGCGGTGATTGAGCAAAGCACAATTGCACAAAGTGAAAAATCAGCAGTTAAAAAAAATGAAGACATCAAAACAAGGTTTGGAATTATGATAAAACATTCGGTAATAAATATTTGCTGGAAAAAAAATCCTAACATCATATTAACACTGGATGTCACCCAAATATTATTATTGTTCATATTGCTTGATTTGAGAAATTAATGATCTTTCTCTCTTTCTATGCTCCGATTTTGTTAATAAAAGTGATACCATTTTCAGTCCACACATCGCATTATCAAATGCAAGGATTATTATTATTGTTCCCATTCTCTCACTGATAAAAAAAATATTTGTTCACTCGATCCATGACTGTTTGCCATGTTTTGCCCACAAAATACATAGTCACTCCAGTTTACAATATATTCTGTGAAGCGCTTTGAGATGTCATAACAAGGTGATAAGGCGCTATATCAAATACAAGGATTATTATTATGATACCATCGCCAAATAATTAAAAGGTTAATCCCCAAATTTTCTGTAAATTAATATTGAATACTGGATAAATCGATTAGATTAACTCCATATATGCAGTCAATACACTTTACAGTACGTTCTGAAGCACTTTGAGACGGCTCAAAGACATGATAAACATATCAAATGTTTATTATTATTATTATTATTAATTTCCATTTAAATAAAAATCACCACTGGACAGTAACACATACTGAAATATTACTATTTTTTAAAATATCAAATCGGTGGAATACAAAGTATTTTAAAAACAAGTACAGATTTGGGTCAAAAACACAGGAACAATGAGAGAGTCCTTGTTTGAACATAATTGTCACAAAAAATATGTACACAAAAATCTCTGTGCTTTTAAAATAATTTCTCTGGGGAGTTTGCTCAAAAATAAAGACCGAAATAAGCCTTTTTGGCGATTTAAATAAAATATGAATTAAATGCTTTAACTCTTCAACCCTCCTCCAAAACAAATTGTTATATCATTGAGCTTTAATTTTCGTTGCAATTAAAAACAAGACTAACATTCCTTCACATCTTCCAGTAAATATATACATATATAATATATAACTAAAAACAACAAGCAACTAAAGTTAAATCTAACCCAAACAGTTGAAACCGTTCAGAAATCCACTCGGTTTAAAATGCATCGAATTATGCACTTTCGTTTTGAAATTCATTTCATTTAAATAAAATAATTGAATTGAAAGAAGACGCAGCAAATTATTGCATCAAATGCAATTTCATTCTTGCAAAAAAAACTGCGTGATCTTTTTAAATAAAACCGTCTGTGTACCGACATGCTGTTCGGATTTGATTCATAATAAATAATAATAATAATTTGAAAATGAAAGGACAGATTTTGAAGCTCTAACTAGGTTTACGAGTTAAATATTATTAATAATGTCCCAAATCCAGTATAAAACTAACCCTCCCCACCAAGCAAAACCTCCAGATCTCTTATTGCTCCACTCAGAATTGTGAATACCCCTCTATACATAAATAAATAATAATAATAATAATAATAATAATAATAATATTCACTGTTAAGACGTATGCAACTGACTGCATTGCAAACCATATTCATTTCAATGTTATTTTCAGTGGCTCACACACTCACACTCACGCCCCGCCACCCCTACACACACACACTCCCCCCCACCCACACACACACTCCCCCCCACCCCCCCCCCCCACACACACACACACACACACACTCCCCTGTGTTGCTGCTCACAGCCAAAGCACTGGGTTTGGAGGAAGGAAATTTCTGTGATATTGCGAAGTATCCCAGATCAGGTAGAAAATTGCCCCCAACACCCCCCCCCGCCCCCCTCCCACACACACACCCTGTGTTGTGCTTTTTTTGGGGGGGAGTGTGAATTATTCCCCGTGGCAAATCGCTCACAAGCACCCGAGAGGAGGAGAGACAGAAAGAGTGAGGAGAGAGAGAGAGAGAGAGAGGGAGACTGAGATGTTAAGAGTTCGCTCAATTCAGATCAATGTGTCTAAAAAGCCGAAACGACTGGATTCTCCGGGATTTAACGGGTTAATTGCACTTTGCTGCAACAACAACGATTTACATTTGTAATAATAATCCTCGCGTTTGATGTAGAGCCTTAACACGTCTTCGAGACGTCTCAAAGCGCTTCGCAAACGATACTGTAACGTGAATTGACTGTATATTTTGTGGACGAAACGCGACAGCCAATTTATAATTTATGTATACACACACACACAGTATAATTGATATATATATATTTATGTATGAGAATTATTCTGACGCCAGTGCGGTGTCAGGGCTGTGTTGTCCTGTTCCTTCAGATGAGGTATTAAGTGAGACATTATAGCGCCAAGTGCTTTCACTCTGCCCTGTTCAGGTTGGATGTTAAAGATCCCATGAAGCTATTGGAAAAGAACAGGGAGTTTCTCTCTGTGCTCTCACCGTCAATCCTCCAGTTAAATTGATCATTCGACCACAAAATACACAGTCGATCCATTTTACAGTAAATTCTGTCAAGCGGTTTGAGATGTCTCAGCGTTGTATCAAATGCAAGGATTATTATTATCGTTCGCTTCCTGGCTGGTTGTGGACAAGCTGGTTGTTGTGCTGGTAATACAAACCCACAGTCACTACACCCAAACTGTAATTACTGGGAAGCGATAAAGATCTAAATTAAATGCAGGGATTAATAATTTAAATTATTTCCTTAAGCGCCGCGATTGAAATTTGGTTTCCATTGGCACAAGCTATGAAATCTTCATCTCTTTGATCCTGTCGGACGCAAAAGGCCCACACACAGTCACTACACTTCAGTCTGCGCTGTCTGCCTTCGAGAGGGACGTCCTCCCGATGTGAAAGGTGCTAGACAAATGGAATTTTGTATTCTATTGTAATTTGGTTTGTGGGATGTCGCTGTGCGCAAATGGGGCTGCCACGTTCGCCTACAAATAAATACACAGTCACTACACTTAACAGCGAGTCCTGTGAAATACTTTGAGATGTTCTCCTGATGTAAAAGGCGCCGTATCAAATGCGAGGATTATTATTATTATTATTAATACAATTTATGGCTGGAGCAGTCCCATACAGAGGGAGGATTGAGCAGGAGTTTAGCGAAATAGAAATGAGAGACATTTAACACATCAAAAGTTTGTTTCCGTCAAAATACAAAGATTTTCACTCAAATTTGGTCACACAATCCACGGCTGTTTGTGGGGACACTGCTGTGCGCAATCGGCTGCCGAGTTTCACCCACAAAATATAGACAGTCAATTCACTTTACAGTATATTCCGTGAAGCGCTTTGAGACGGGATAAGGCACTGTATCAATTGCAAAGATTATTATTATTATTATTATGATTATGATCATTATGCTGTGTGCGAGGAAAGGCGTTTGGAGAAGGAATTTTAATAATAAATATTTAATAATAAACAAGATGAAATAGTTAATATACAGATATACATTTTTAAATTGCACCGTTGAAAATTCTTTGTATTGCGACTGAAAAACTAACTTGGGGTTTGCGAACTAAGTGTATCTCATTTCAATTTAGTTTACACACCTTTTATCCATCCATAACCTTCTCCCCCCTCACTCCTTCACCCCCTCTCTCTCTCTCTGTATATATATATGTATATATACACACACACACATCTCTGCCTCTCTCTCTCTCTCTCTGACAGGGCTGTGTGGAGGCTGATAAAAGTTTTGGGGGTGATTTTACTTGGGTTTAAATGGCCAATAAATGCCATTTAAACACATTGCTTGGAAGAAACAGAGGCTGGACATTGAGTGAGTTGGTTGGCACCTCCACAGAGTTTCATTGGGTGCCTGTGACACACACACTCCCTCTCTCCCTCCCTCTCTCCAACTCTTCCCATCCCTTCCCTAAACTTTGCAAAACCTTTTGAGCAGTTGGTAGGAGAAGCTGGAGATGGCAGCCTCGATGTTGGAGGTAAGAAACTTTCATCATCCCCCCCCTCCCCTTCCCCTATCTCTTCTTTTCCTCCTTCTACCTCTCCCCCAACACCCCCAATATATCTAAATATATCTCCACTCCTTTGGAGGCAAATCAGACTTAAATGTTTTAACATCTAAAGGGCACTTGTGGCTGTTTTTCACCCAATTTAATGTGTGGAGCTCAGGGGAAAAGTTAGAGCTTCACTAAGACAGAGTGAACTGCATTTTTTTTTAATTCCCCCAATTTTCTTGACAACCCCCCCACCAAAAAGAAAAGATTTTAACTTGTTTTTTTTTGGGTAGAAAGTGTGGGGGTGGGGGAAACATCTGCACTTTGCTTCATCTCTGAGTCTCTCTGTCTCTCCCTTTGCCTTAGTTGAGCTCTGATGGAACTGTAAATTAAACTTAGTGTTTATTCTAAACTTTTGAGAGTTAGTTACACACTCAGTCTCTCTCTCTCTCTGGATCGCTCTCTCACATTCACTCCATCCCCACCCACACTCGCACTTGTCTCACTTACACCACCGGATCGTTTAAGATGGAATATCTCACTTGTCCTTCAATCTCCACTTTGTTCCATCCGATGTACATTTGCGGCGAAATCTGCGGGTGTGGGAGCTCAGCGAAGTGCGCAAAAAGCTTTCGCTTTCGCTGGTCCTCGTCCCATAAAAAGAACCCGTTCCTCCCAACACCCGACAAACGAATTCGGAACAACGTAGAATTCAAATTCAAATTGGGGGGAAAAAGAAACATTTCGAAATGTAAATTATAAAAACGTTTCCGATTGCATTTATTTTAGAATTGAACTGCTGCTTCTATTTGTGTCGACCCACAAGTTTTTTGTGCAACGATAAATGGATTTTTACGCGTTTTGATTCCAACAGATACTTGTTTTAATAATAATAATAATAATAATCCAATATAATAATAATAATATCAATAATAATTGACACAGCGCCTTTTACATTGAGAGGACGTCTCAAAGCGCTTCACGGGATTTACCGTAAAGTACGGACTGTGTGTTTAATAATAATAATAATCCTCGCATTTGATACAGCGCCTGATCATGTCTTCAAGACGTCTCAAAGCGCTTCCCGGGATACACCGTAAAGTGTAGTGACTGTGTATTTTGTGGGCGAAACGCGGCAGCCAATTGTGCACAGCAGCGTCTCCCCCACAAACAGTTATGGATTGAAGTGACTAAATTTTTTTTGGAAGGGGATTATTACCCCCGGAAAGCGATCCGCCAATCGACTAACAACCGGGTTCCCACTTTCTGCTGATAAACAGAGGGGAGTGAGGAGACTTCCCCAACGTTTCGCAGTAAGTGGGAATCCAGTTGTTTGTCAGTTGTCGAATCGATTTCTCGCCGTAATAATCCCTTCAAAAATAATAATAATAATTTGGTCACTCAATCCACGAGGCATCTCAACAACATAAGGCGCTATATCAAATGCAAGGATTATTATTAATATTATTATTAATCTGTTTAGCGCTTTGAGACATCCTCCCGACGTGAAAGGCGCTGCATCGAACGTGACGATTATTAAATTAAATTATCCAATTAAATATTATCTCACTGTCTTAAGGTCCTGGGAAAGGGCGATCCAGAGGAGGAGAGGGTTGGGGATAAGGAGGCGGAGGTGGGAATGGAGGAATCTGGAGTTGAAGGGGAACTCGTGGGAAGATGTATAAAGAGAAAGTAATCTGACGAATGACATAAGAACCTAAGAAATACGAGACCAGAAAAGACTTAAAGTCCATCTAGTTTGCCTTCTACCTTCCAGGCGGTCGCAAGCACATATGTCCCAAACTATCTATATACTGTTTCCCATAATGTTATTTCCTAAAAGAAAACTGTGACTGTGTCCGTGTTGGTGTCAGCGAGTAACCGATTAGTCGTGTAATGTTCTAAACCTGTCACAAAGCTTCACAAACCGCGCAGTTCGGGTTTACAGAATTAAAATTCGGGATTATGGGGTCCTGTGGCTCAGCGGTTCGAGCCCTCGCCTCGCAAGCGAGGGACCCGGGTTCGATTCCCGGGCGGCCAGGGCGAAACCTTAGGCAAGTTTCCTTACTCCACACACGCACACGCACACACACACATACGCTGCTGTTTACCAGCAGTCAGGAGGAACCCGGTTGTTAGTTGATTATCGGATCGCTTTCCGGGGTTAATAATCCCTCAAAAAAAAATTGGTCACTAAATCCATGACTGTTCGTGGGGACGCTGCTGTGCGCAATTGGCTGCCGTGTTTCACCCACAAAATACACAGTCACTACACTTTACAGTATACCCTGTGACGCGCTTTGAGACGTCTCGAAGAGGTGATGAGGCGCCGGGTCAAATGCGAGGAATATTATTATAAAATATTAAAAAAATCATAATAGCTTTTTCCGGTTCAGTCGGAGGCTAAAACTCAGCGTTTTTGACACAGAAACCGGCAAAGTGTTTTTTTTTCACACAAAGTGTCACACTGTGGTGGAGAGTGAAAAACACGACGATATTTCATACCCGAACCGTCCGAAACCGAAATCAGTGACGGAAACGGACCGATTCTGGGGTTTTTTTTTTGGAAAAAAAATCTTTTAACTCTGCCTTCAAAACACACAGCCACTACACTTTAGTTTATCCAGCGAAGCGCTTTGAGATGCCTTCCCGACGTGAAAGGCGCTATATCAAACGTAAGGATGACTCTTAGTTTAAAAGTCTCTGGAGGACTGTTTGAGGGGTTCAGATTCCGACTGTTTGATGTGATCCATTTTCGTGCAGTTATAATTATTCGCATCGCAAATTTTTTTTTAAAAAAAAACTCCTTTAAAATCCTGTTCTTAAAGCTTTGCACAAACTTTTAAGGTTTCACGGGGAATATCCAGCATTTCGAGACTTAAAATGATAATAAACCTTGGACTTGATACAGGGCCTGATCACGTCATTGAGACGTCCCAAAGTGCTTCACAGAATATACCGTAGTGGCTGTGCGTTTTGTGGGTGAAACACAGCAGCCAATTGCGCACAGCAGTGTCCCACAAAACAGTCGTGGATCGAGTGACCGAATTCTTCTTATTATTTTTTGGGGGGAGGGATTATTACCCCCGGAAAGCGATCCGCCACTCAACTAACAAATGGGTTCCTACTGACTGCTGGTAAACAGGGGCGTGTGTGCGTGTCTGTCTGTGTGTGCGTGTCTGTGTGTGTGTGCGTGTCTGTGTGTGTGTGTGCGTGTGTGTGTAAGGAGTAAGGAAACTTGCCCAAGGTCTCGCCCTGACCTGACTGACCCGCCCGGTCCTTTCGCTTGCGAGGCGAGGGCTCTAACCACTGAGCTACAGGAATTTTGCTTTGAAATTCTAGGGTGGGGGTGGATCGGTGACCCCCGGAGGGAGGGGGGGAGGGACGGGCCACGGGAAATTCCAAACCGACCCACGCATTCCTATCTTGCGTTTCATTATGGAGTTAAAATCAACCCAATTCCGTTCTTTTTTCCCCCCGATCGCAGGAGGACGCCAGGTTTGGCTCCAGCCCGTTGGCCATGTTGACCGCCACCTGCAATAAATTCGGGGGCTCCAGCCCGCTCCGAGACCCCTCCACGCCGGGAAAACCCAACGTCAATCCCGGGAAGAACTCCTACAGTCCCGGCTCGGAGCTGATGGCCGCCAAGAGCAGAGGACCCGAGGGGATGGCTGACGGCTACGCCGGGGTGGGGGTGGGCTGCGGGAACGGCTTGATGTCCACGTCCCCGAACCCGCAGAGCTCCGCGGGCTACGGGAACGATTACGGCCCCTTCTCTCACTCCTTCCCGCCTGCCTCAGGAGCCCAGGACCCATCTCTCCTGGTGTCCAAGGGCCACCCGCCCTCAGACTGCCTGCACGGAGTCTACCCCTCCCTGGACATGGGGCACCCGTACGGCTCCTGGTACAAGACCGGCATCCACCACGGCATCTCCACCGGTTCCACCAACGCCACCACCTCCTGGTGGGACATGCACTCCAACAGCAACTGGCTCAGTGCTCCCGGTCAGGCCGATGGGCTTCAGGCTTCCTTCCAGCCGGTGTCATCCCAATCCCCGATCAACGCCCAACTGTCCGGCTACGGCTCCGACTTTGGATCCCTAAACCACTATTCCCCGGTGGGTCTGGGCTCCCCCTCGCCCCTCCTGCCCTCCAGCCAACACATGATCTCGCAGGAAATGTTCAAGCCCAAAGCACCGGCCAACAGTGGTCTGATGGAGAACCCGCTGGGCCTCAAGTCCCCCAGCCGGTCCTCGTACGGAGGTGGGACGGGCAGAGCCACCTGCGATTGCCCCAATTGCCAGGAGATTGAGAGGTTGGGGGTGTCGGGGGTGAACGTGAGGAAGCGAGCGGTCCACAGCTGCCACATCCCGGGCTGCGGTAAAGTCTACGGCAAAGCCTCTCACCTGAAAGCTCACCTGAGGTGGCACACGGGGGAAAGGCCTTTCGTGTGCAATTGGCTCTTCTGCGGGAAGAGGTTCACCAGGTCGGACGAGCTGGAGAGACACGTTCGCACGCACACCAGGGAGAAGAAGTTCACCTGCCTCCTGTGTAACAAGCGCTTCACCCGCAGCGATCACCTCAACAAGCACCAGAAGACCCACAACGAGCCCGGGGCCAAGCAGGCCAACGAGAGCGACGGGGAGAGAGGAGACGTCAGGGACCCAGCCTCGCCTGGCAACGGGATGCAGGTGGCCGGCTCCGGGGAAGCCGAGAAAACAGGCGCTGGGGAACAGGCGGCTCTACTGGAAATATAAGGCGCCGGGGATTAGACCCCCACTTAGACACTCAATGCCCATCTCCCTCCCTCCTCCTCCTCCTCCTCCTCCTCCTCCGACAACGACAAAGGGACATCTCTGCCATCCTTCTGCGCTTCTAAAGGTAAACGGTGTGAGGGACCCAGTGGC